AGTAGCAGAATGGATGAGTAAACAGGATCCATCAGTATTCTGTCTACAAAAGACACACCTTATACACAAAGACAAAAAATAGATTAAAAATTAAAGGATGTGAAAAATATATCAAGCTATTGGCAATCAAAAATGAATAGGAGTGGCAATATTAATTTCTGATAAAATAGGCTTTTAGACAAAAACCAGCATAAGAGACAAAAAGGGATGTTATCTCATGATTAAAGGGTCAATTGAACAAGAGGACATAACTATAATAAATATCTATGTTCCCAGTGAAAGAGACTCAAAATGCATAAATCAAACTGTAATACAATTAAAGAAATAAACAACGCTAAAATAATAGGAGATTTTAATATACCACTTTACAGCCTAAATGCCCATTAATGGAAGGGTGGATGAACAAACTTTGGTACGTACACACAATGTAAAACTGCAATGTTGAAGAATAATGATTAATCTGTCAAACACCTCATAACATGGATGAACCTGGAGGATATCATGCTGAGTAAAATAAGTAATTCACAAAAGGACAAATATGAAACCACAATTGTAAAAACCAAGAAAAGGTTTCATACTAAAAGAAACATTCTTTGATGGTTACCAGGGGTGGGAGGGAAGGGTGAGTAATTCACTGACTAGAGGGCAGACACCTGTTAACTCAGATGACGGAAGGCTATATACAAAGAAGAGGGAGATTGGCTAAAGAACGATGAAGATAGGGGAAGACACAGGGAGGTATGCAGGAGCTAAAGGGGATATGTTGTTGTTAAGTGCCATCAAGTCGATTCTGACTCATAGCGACCCTGTATAGGGTTTCTGAGGAGCAGCTGGTAAGCTTGAACTACGGACCTTGCAGTTCAGACAGCTTTGCAGTCTGGCGCATTAATCCACAGCACCACACCAGGACTCCAAAAGGGATATAAATAGTAATATATATACAACGTTGGAACAACAGTGTTATATCTCACAAAAATAAAAGAGTTTGAGGATATCTACACTGGTAATCACAGGGAGAGGGAGCAGGACAACTGTTGTTGCATGAAGGGATTGCATTCATTGAGATGAAACAAAGTATGATTTGTTTAATGTATCCTGATGATCTTGGCTGTCAACCTTCACTGTTTCTCTATAAAAGCTTTTTTTGTTTCATGTTTTGTTTTGTTTTAAAAAGATGGAAGGAATACTCAGAGTCACTGTACCAAAAAGAAGGGGCAATGTTCAGCCATTTCAAGAGGTAGCATATGATCAATAAATGATAGTATTGAAGGAAGAAGTCCAAACTGTACTTAAGACATTGATGAAAACCAAGGCCCCAGGATTTGACTGAATACAAGTTGATGCAGCAATGGAGGCACTCTCTCTATGCCTAGAAATTTGGGAGACAGCTACCTGGCTAACCAATTGGAAGAGGTCCTGTTTGTGTCCATTCCAAAGAAAGGTGACCCAGTGGGGTACAGAAATCATTGAATAATATTATTAATGTTGTTGAGTACCTTCAAGTTAGTCCTGATTTATAACAACCCTGTATAGATAGGGTTTTTGAGGCTGTACATCTTTGCAGGAACAGAAAAACTTCATCTGTCTCCCACAAAAAAACTGGTGGGCTTGAACCACCAACTTTGTGCTTCACAATCTAGTGTTTATCATACAGAAGATAATTTTTAAATGTCTGTAGCAGCACATTGGCAGGGAACTGCTAGAAACTCAAACTGGATTCAGAAGAGCTTGTGGAACTAGAAATATCATTACTGATAACAGATGAATCTTGGTTGAAAGCAGAGAATACCAGAAAGATGTTTGCTTATGCTTTATTGGCTATGCAACGGCTTTTGATTGTGGATTATGACAAGCTATGGATAACATTGAGAAGAATGGGTATTCCAGAATACTTAATTGTACTTATGAGGGACCTGTACCTAGACTAAGGGGCAGTTGTTCAAACAGAACAAGGGAATAGCGAATGATTTAACATCAGGAAAGTTGTGCACAGGGTTGTATCCTTTCATCATACATATTCAGTCTATTTGCTAAGTAAATAATGCGAGAAGCTGGAGTATATGAAGAAAAATGTGGCAACAGGAGTGAAGGAAGACTCATTAACAGCCTGCAATATGCAGGTGATACAGCCTTGCTTTCTGGAAATGAAGAGGATTTAAAATGCTTACTGATGAAAATCAAAGAGTAAAGCCTTCAGTATAGATTGTACCTCAATGTAAAGAAAACAAAAGTCCTCATAATTGGTCCAGTAAATAGTATAATGATAAATGGAGAAGAGATTGAAGTTGTCAGACTTTATTTTGCTTGAATCAACACTCATGGAAGTAGCAGTCAAAAAATCAAATTACTTATTGCATTAGTCAAAACTGTTGTAAAATACTTTTTTTAAGTGCTAAAGAGCAAAGATGTCATTTTGAAGACTAAGGTATGCCTCATCAAAGCCATGGTATTTTCAGTAACCTTATATGCATGTGAAAGTTGTACTGTGAATAAGGAAGACCATAGAAGAATTGATGCATTTGAGTTATGGTTTTGGAGAAGAATATGAAAAGTACCATGGATTTGCCAGAAGAATAAACAAATTTGTCTTGTAAGAGTTAGTAGCCAGAATGCTCTTTAGAAGCTAGGATCACGAGACTTCATCTCTTATACATTGGACATGTTATCAGGAGGGACCAGTCCTTGGAGAAGGACATCATGCTTGGTAAAGTAAGTGATCGGTAAAAAAGAGGAAGACCCTTAATGGAATAGATTGACATTTTGGCTGTAACAATGGACTCAAACAAAGATTGTGAGATGGCGCAGCACTGAGCAGTGTTTTGTTCAGTTATGTATGGGGAGCATGGAGACTCTGTAGAATGAACACTAGACTGTATACCACAGGACCACTAGCTGCTCTATAGGAGACATATGAGGCTTTCTGCTCCCGCAAAGATGTACAGCCTTAGAAACCCTATGCAGGGTTGCTCTGAGTCAGAACTGACTGGACAGCACTTAACAACATATGAGGTCACTATGAGATGGATCCAACTTGATAGCACCTAACAAATACTCTAGACAGATGCAGAGCTGAGCACATCTTAGAGCTCAAATAGCCCATATGCAAACAAAACCCTCGTGACTTGCAGCTCAGCCTAAAACATTTTAAAATAAGAGAATATGAAAGCTTATTGACAGATGGACAACGTATATTGAAAAGCAAGGAGATTGTGTTGAAAAACAATGTAATTGCCTTTTCTAAAAGTTGATTAAAATAAATTCTACAGCCATAGAGTGGATAATTTTTGACTTCACACATGTGCACTGTGTATGTGTGGGCGTGTGCACACTCACACGTGTGCATGTTCATGCCTAGTGGCACAGTGATTTATATTGGGCTACTAATTGAATGGTTGGCGGTCCAAACCCACCAGTGGCTCCATAGGAAAAACAGCCTCAGAAACCTTGAGGAGCCATTTTACCCTGCCCTGTAGGGTCACTACGAGTCAGAATCTACTCAACAGCAGTGGAGTGTGGAGTGGGTGATGCAGACACACAAATCATTTATATAAAGCAAATATAGACATCTAGATATAACTTTGCATTGTAAGTGATCGTTCCATTTGATTAAATGTGATCTTGTATATGCTTTGAGGTAGTTCTGAGATTGAACAGCTTGTAAGCTGTACGTTCAGTTTTGAATGTGTGCATGTCAATATACTGTTTGGAAATGATTTTCATTTCTGAAGCATAGTTATAAAAATTAACACTATAAAATTTCATTTGTATGGTTTAAAAATGTTAGTGGGATATTTTTATTTGCATTATAATCACAACCATTTAATTAGGTCAGTTAGTCTAGAACAGATCTGATGTTTCCTGGGCCAAATGTATTATAGGATTGTGCTTTACTTGGCTTATTCTTTGCTTCAAATATTTTTTCAGTTCTTTTAGATAAGTGTCTGCTCTTCAGTTCACCCTAGTCACCAGCATTCCCTGTTAGTTCACACACCTAACTTATATATTCAGTTAAGTTACTGTCTTGGTCCTGTAAGCATTTGAATTTGTGAACTGTTTCTTGGAATTCTGGCAAATTTTCACTGGAGTTGCCAGGAACAGAAGCCAGATTGTTTTAAGTTAAGTATTGAATGAAGAAGTGGAACCATGGAAAAGCTTAATAAACAAGGAAAACTAAGGAGTAACAGCCTGAGCTAATTTGAAAATGCCAGGTTCCCCTCTGTACTTCTCAAGTCAAGATCATTGTTAGGGCAGACTTTCTCAGTGAGTCCTTATTAGCTAGTTTTCAAGTACATAGGAGATTAGAAATAATACCTTGAAGAAGTAGATTGTGTCCAAATGCAACCTTGGTAAGAACACAGAGAATCAAGCCATGGTATCAAGAGAGAAGACAGAAAGCCACACAAAGCAGATTTAAGGGTTTTGAAATACACAGCATCTAGAGTCATTTCATATAGTTGTTCCACACCTGCAAGGACACTACTGTTGCTATTCATAATGATGACTTTGAGTCATCAAGGAAAGGTTAAATTGTATTGAACTGTTGCTAAAGAGAAAAGGAAATGTGTGATATTTGCATATTTATTATTCAATTAAACATGCAACAGTTTCAAAGTTTCATCACTTCTAGCAGTAGTAAGCTGCATTTACATGGAAGTGGACATTTCATTTATTAACAGACACATGTTTTATAATAGTTGAGTCTTCATTAGGGGAGTCCAGTGCCTCAGTAGTTAGTCTGTGGAGAAGAGAATGTGTCTCTTTTTAGGGAATTATTTAATAAGTAATCTTGACCAACTGTGGTAGTTTCAGAATTGGCTCCTGAGAATAAAGGATACATTGACACGGAAAGTGTTTAGTGATGAGGTAAGTAAATGAACTAGTCTATTTGTGTCAGATCTTTTATTCTCTTTAAATAAAATTGCACTTCGGTGCTAAGTTATGAAAAAGTAACTTAAGCATTTACATAACTGATTTTCAAAAAATTTCTTTTTCTTTTTCAGGATGGTTTACTTGTCCTTCATTATGGTCTTGTGGTTTCTCCTCTGAAAATAACTTGAAGATTCTAGAAGTCATATGAGGAGAGAAACAAAGTAAGGAGGCTTTTGCAGGACTGCATCTCACCAAAGATTTCTATGAAACATGTAATTGCTACCAGTGTGTGCTATTTGAGTTATAATTTATCTCTTTTTAGCACCAAGAACCATTGCATTTATAAGTACAATTTAGAATGATGGAATGCTCTATTTTACTAGAGACTCTATATTAAAAGCATTCCTAGCTCAGGGGAAATTTCTAAAACAATGAATTAAAAAATTCCTTTGATTTAAAATGCTTTGACATTAATTTTGCTTCCATATATCTGAAGCAAATCGGTTAACTGTTCTTCATTGAGCCATATCCCTTTCATGTTGGTGGCTGGGATTCTTAAAGGAATGGGTCAGTCATCCTTTTGGAAAAGAAGGATGCTTGTGAACTGAAGATACAAAATCAGTCTTTGTTTAATTCTAGAGTGTGCTCTCAGACAAAGACCAAAACTTGGCCATGTTTACATATTGCCATAATATTTCCAACTTTTTGTGTGTGTGTAATATTATCAACACTACTAAATGAATGTTGCTCAATTCTAAAATGAATGAATTAGCATTTTTCTGTGTGAATAGACTGTCTCCTATCAAGTTTATGGACCATGTCATAAATCTTCAGTATAAAACTTCTTTAATAAAGTCTATGGCAAAGTGACTCTGCTATAATATGTTAATTTGGCTGTCATTTATTTTGCATATGTAACATGGTTGTTGGGCCCTTGTAATAGCACAGCTTCTGAAAGTAATAAAAAAAAAAGTTAAGTGAATTTGGTTTGTAGAATATGTACTCATTCATTCATGTTTCCTCATTAAGTCAGTTTAACATTCTTTTTCTCATTATTTTTTTTCAGTGGTGTTTATGAGCCCACTCACTGCCATGCACACACTTTAGTTTGAAATATTATTTTTTCCTAAATGTGATTCTTTCTAAAAAATATTTTGTAGACCCTGTTTCACATAAAAATTTCAAACTGTATAGAAATGACTATGAAATTACACAAAGATTGGCAGCTGTTTTATTTTTAAATTTTTTGTTAATTATGTATAAATCTCTTCCAACATTTAAATAAAAACTTATTTTAACCTACTTGAAATGTTAGTGGTTACTATGGACTTTGTAAGAAATACCCAAAGTCCTCTAGAGACAGTGTTATGCCCAGAATTTGGGGTCCCCAAAGACCACCAAGGAGCAGACACCGATGCAAGTGCACAAGGGTTGTTTATTCAAGCTCGGGCCCGGACTTCACCTCATCCGACGCAGCGGATTAGGGATAGAGCCCCGAACCCTTTGTCTGTGGGGTTTTTATAGAGTTTTCAAACTAGCTCGGGTTTCTCAGCTTTACAGTTTTTGGATTGGTTAACAATTGGCAAACTATGAGATGTTACAGTTTAATTGGTCAGGACTGGTGGTCTTTGTTCTTAGGCTAGGGCAAAGGAAAACATCTGGCATCTGGCTGCTTGGCTATGTATACATATATCATTTTCTTGGAGCTAGAGGACATGCTAAAGCTTATATACAAAATGGATTCTTCTCTTTGGTCCTACAACAGCTTGTCTGTAGGACTTCCGACTGAAGTGGCAGCTTAGTCAGGCACACTTCACCATCCCTCCAAAGCAGAGAAATGAGAGCAGATCTAGAAGGCAATCCTGGAACCCTGTGCATCAAGTGAAAGGACAAAGAATGAGACCAAACACTGAATAGAAGAAGAAACTGACTAGAAATAGTAAACTAGAACAGATGAACAGAGAGGCCCTGTCAGTAGGCCCAGCATAGTGTGATCATCTTGAGACAAACAGGGCAACAATCCTAGATGAAGAGCATAGAAGCAACTTCACAGAATGCCCAACGAGCATATAGTAATTTTACTTTTTTCCCAAGCTGCTTTCAGCATTCCTTCCTTTTCTTTGGTTTTGGAAAGTTTGATTATGATTTATCTTAGTGATTTTCTTTTGGAGTCTGTCTTGTGTGGGTTAGTTCAGCTTCTTGTCTTTCATGCTGTTAGAGAAATTTTCTTCCAAGATTCTTTGAAATTTTTTTTGTACTTTTTTTTTTTTTTTTGTCCCTTCCTATTCTAGAATTCCATTCATATGTAAGTTATTCCACTTGATAGTGTCCCATATAAATCTTAGGCTTTCTTTGGATTTTTTATTCTTTTTTTTCTGATTGTTCCTCTAGCAGATGAGTATTGAGAGATTTGTCCTCAAGTTCACTAGTTCTGTCTTCCATTGTTTCAATTCTACTTCTTTTCCCTTTCAATGTATTATCTATTTCTAAAATCTTACCATTGATCTAGATTTCTTTTTGCTATTTTTGTATGGTTTTTACATTTTTATTTATTTTGTTAATTTGTTCTGCAGTGTTTTCCTAAATTCTTCTAAAATTTTTCTGTATTTTCCTTGATTTCATTTTCAGCTTTCTCAATCCATTGAAAGTGTATAAATATCATTATTTTAGGCCTTTATCAGTTCTTATGTCATTTCTTCCTCAAAAGGGTCTTCTGACACTATTTTGGTCACTTACTTGAATCACTCTGTCTTGTTTCTTCATGAATTGAAATTGTTTTCACTGAGTCATTGTGGCATTGTATTTGTATTTAATTGATGATTGTATGTTAGTGTGGTCTTAGGCAATCACCACCTGCCCCCTGGCGATGTGATAGAAAACTTTGTGTGCATAGTTGAGGGTGGATTTGGCTGGTTTGGGCAGCTGGCTATCAGTGGGTAGTGGCCGCAACATGTGGGCATGGCTGCTATCTCTTGTTGGGTGGGACATAAGGAAAAAGATACCTGGGAGAAGGAAAAAAAGGCAGTATCAAGACAAAATAATTTTTATAACAAAAGGAAAATAGAAGAGAAAAAAAGGCCAATGAAAGAAAAATGCAGTAAGTAAAACTTTGTTGTTGTTACTAAGTGCTGTCAAGTTGGTTCCAACTCATAGTGATGCTGTATAGGGTTTCCAAGGAGCGACTAGTGAGTTTGAACCACCAATCTTGTGTTTCAAACCAGGGCTTTTATCTTACAATGCCACACCAGGATTCCAAGTAAAATTAGGCAAAGGGAAAAGAAAATATAAGGGAAGGGAAAAACAAGAGAAGCAGAAGAAAATAGAAGGAATAAAAGAGGAAAGAAAGAAAACAGACAAAGTTAAGAAGGGATGGGAAGGTGGATGGAATGGAAAAGGAACCACAGGGAGGAAGTGGGATAGCTGTTATTGCAGGAGGGGTTTGCAATCATTGAGATGAAACAAAGTGTGATTTGTTGAATATAAAACCATCATTTTGTATGTAAAATCACTTAATTCACAGTAAAAACTTAAAAAAAAAAAAAAAAGGGCAGGATTCAGAGGAAAAATTTGAGTTAGGGCATTCGGTATCAACGAACTCTGCTAGCCAAGGGGCTCACAGAATAGGGAAAGGAAGAGCAAGGGGGTAGGACACCCTGTCCTAGATGATGTTCCTGCCAGCATAGATGTCTGGGTTAGAGCATCTGATCTAGAAGTAGGTCTTAGAAATGGCTGACATCAGGGTACTTGTTCCCAAGAAGAACTCTCTTGGACCCAGAGAGCAGCTGGGGGCAGGCCAGTTAGTTATGGAAGGAGTTCTTGGCCTCCCAGAGGTGGCCAGTACTTGGCACTGTACATTTTGATGGTCTGATGAGGTGACTGACGTTAAGGCACCCAATTCATGAGGGTGCAGCTCTGACCTCAGACAGAGCCGGGCTTTACAGGGTGGCATGTGTTACCAATCACTGGGTAGGTAAGGGTGGAGGCTGACCCTATTTCTGGTCATCAGGATGGTGTGGGGAGGATTCTACCTTTCTTGTCACCAGCCACCAGTGTGTATGTGTGTGTTGGCAGGCCACTGTCTCAAATGCCACCTGCAAAAGTTCAGGATGGCTTTGTCATGTCAGGGCAGCTGACAGTTCACCCATCTGTCTCCTCTTCACTTTTATTCAGCTTCTTCTAGTCAGTATTCAATCCACACGCCTATCCTTTTCTCTGAAGTTTAGGGATCCAGGATTATCATTTGTAGCTGTTTTATTTGGTCTCTTGTATCTGTTGTAGAAGGTCTGTTTAGCATGTCTTCCTAATCTGCTGTTTTGCTCTGTACACTTCGGAAGGCAGTGTTTCCATCTCTCTAACCCTGTTGTTGTTATGTGCCGCGGAGTCGGTTCTGACTCATAGCGACCCTGCACAGGGTTTCCGAGACTGTTAATCTTTACAGGAGCAGAATGCCTCATCTTTCTCCCACGGAGCAGCTGGTAGTTTCGAACTGCTGACCTTGTGGTTCGCAGACCAATTCGTAACCACTACACTACCAG